CTCCCCCCCCTTGCACCAAAGTTGTAAAGTTCGTTTTCGACATGACAACTTGTACTTCTCATAGTTGCAACAGGTCCACCTGTTTCTACCTTATAGACATTAATTTATCAGTCTGTCTCTTTGTCTATTTCTTTTAGCACATTCCCTAGATTGTAAATACTCCTGTGTTTTTCTCCCCATTTAAGATGTGAGCATGCCAAAGGCAATGATTGTATCTTAAATATTCCTACCCTAGGGATGCAAAGTACTTTCCAAAACACTACTTTATTCTGGTAGGCAACATTCCAGGGATTTTCTGTATTCTCATTTAGTGGAAGAACGCTTATGATATATTTTAAATTCATTTTCCAAACTTCAGATTGCCTATTTACCATCTGAAAATGTAGTGGGGAGAAACCAACACTTACTGACATTGAATGTCAACATCAGTAGAGCTTTGAAACTCATGCTGTGAGTGTGATGTTGGAAAGGATACACGAATTAAAGCCTAATGTTCGTTTCAAATTTACTTGTGATTTACTAATAGAAATATTATTGATTAAAAAGATGCCACAAGTAGACATAAAGTACAATCACAATGAGTATTTTCTTGCATTACTATTTTCTTTCTTTCTGTTATGACAGACCAGTTGAAATCTTAGAAACTGAATACCCACGAGTTGAATACCAAAGGAGACAACAGTTTTGGGACCCTATTCGACTGGCTCTTTTTACATTGGCAATAGCAGCCATCATAGGAATTACGATTGGTATTGTTACCCATTTCGTTGTTGAGGGTAAGTATTCAGATTACATTTCTATTGCCTGAGTATTCTATAGTTTGATATCTTACAATTCCATTGTAAAATAGTATTTGCATGATATTGACATTTTAATGACTGATATTTTATTGATGCTAAGTTACAGTTTTCTCCCACACAATGTGTTTATCCTTAGTAAAGCTTAATATTTACATTACTTTTGTAGAAAATCTGAAGAAAACATAAAAAAGAGAAAGAATGAATACAATTGTCTGGATAATAAAGATAAATTTACATGATCTAGTGTAACATGCTTTCCTCAGGATCAATAAATTTATTATTTATCTTAAGAAAAGCTCATTATATAAAAGAAAGTACCTCAAAATATTATTTTCCCAGCCTGCCCCCCCCCCCCCCCAATTCTCCCCCCCCAAAAGTTGCAAAGTTCATTTTCGACATGACAACTTGTACTTCTCATTGTTGCAACGGGTCCACCTGTACCTCAAAATATTTTTATAACTTCAAATTTAAGCATTATTTCTGAAAAAATCAAATTATTCTATGATTGGAAGGCTCAGAATTGAATTATATGTAAAAAGTATAGAATCAGGAACATAGATGTACCAAGTAATAATTAACTAAAATATATTTACCTTTGTCTTTGGTATTTGAGTTTATAATCTCAGATTATTGAGACTTTGCTTAAAATTTTAAGGACTATCTTTAGTCATTATAAAACAACTATACTTGAAAAACCTCCAAAGAAGAAATGAAATATTTTCCAATGTGTCCCAGCTCAACTTCCTACATCCTTTGATTGGGGTATTGATTAGATCCATTTCTTGGAATCTCGTAAGTCAAAAACATAAATCAACTAACCCTCTAAGATTTCCTTTGTTGGTAGTAAATTTGACACAAAACGAGTAGCTAATGAGTAGCTTTGTGTTTCAAACTACCCACAAAACCATAGGTGTTCTCAAAAAAGAACAAAGTTATAATAAAACACAGCAAAAACATATTGTTAACCATTATGGAGGTTTTGAAAGCTGAAAATTACCTAAACTCATACAAAGATGTTCATATGCTAATCTTAAGAATCTATAAATATCACTTTATGCAAGAAAAGGTATATACATTAAGAACATTGAAATGGATCCTGGGCACAGTGGTTCATCCCTGTAATCCTAGATACTCAGGTGGCTGAGATCTGAAGATTACAGTAAAGCTAGCACAAGCATGAAAGTCTATGAAACACTCATCTTCACTTAACTACCAAGTGGTACAGTGCTAGTTTGGAACCAAGAAGCCCAGATTCAGAGCACAGGCCCTGAGTTCTAGCTCCAAGACTGGCACAAGAAAAAGATCCTAGTAATTTTGAGATGGGAAGATCTTTAAGGATTTTCTGGATAGATCCTAAAATTAATCATAATTATATAATATTATATCATAATTATAAGATAAAAGAGTGGGGGAGGGGAAGATGGGAAGGGATGGGAAGAGGAAACAAAGGAGGAGGCTACAATGCTTGATAAGAAATATACTCATTATCTTGCCCATGTAATTGTAACCCCTCTGTACAGTATTTTCACATAATTTTTTTTTAAAAAAAGATAAAAGACAATTTTATTTCTTACTAGAGACAAAAGAAGTCAAAGGAGGAGGAATATAATATGGGGTCATGAGTCAAAGAATGAGAACAGTCTTTAGAAAAAAAGACAAGATTTTTCTTCTTAGACTCCAAAAGAAACCAACTCTTCTGACACTGTAATGTTACCCTTGTCAAACTGACATCAGATTTTTGTAGAAGAATCAATTTAAGTCACTAAATATCAACAACAAGAAACGAATCCAGGGATTAACACTTAAGGACTTGATAAATCTATCATGAGAAATTCCTAGGATGTGTGAAAAGTTGCTTGAGTGATATGGACAGTTAGTAAAGGAAGAAGGCAGATGATGAGAAGTGCTAGAGAAGCAAACGAAGAGGCATCTAAGCTGATAGCCACATTTTCAAAAGAAATAGACATTTTCATAATGTAACATGGAGGAGACAGGGAAGAAGTGTACTGTTTTAAAACAGTACATTTAAAGATTGTAAATCTAAAAAAAAATAGTCAAACTGGGAAATAATTGCTATGGAAATGAGAATTTTAGCAGATTTAATGGTGAAGAGTTGACCAGGTTAAGAGCTTGTGATAAAGTCATTTTGAACCTCAAGCTTTTGATAAATACGAGTGATCAGATTTCATTGCATTAAAATTCTGAGTTCCATTGCCAATTAAAATAGGCTATTTTAATTTTGGAATATGTTAGGCTTATCATTGCTATCTAATGAAAAGTATAAGAAATGCTTTGAGCTATGGGGAACAGGGGGGCTGCTTATTAAGTGACTATAAGATTTTCCTTTCAGGTGAATGACTTGGAGAAGAGTTGAAGAAATCAGGTCCTATTAGAAATCTGAAATTTTGCTGTGATTATCAATAAATCTTATCTAAAAGGAATAACAATAAAACAAGGTCAAGGCTATTGGACGAGCATCAAGTATACCTCTTAGTACAGATAAAGAATTAGAAGCATTTGTGGTTTTTATTTTTGTTATTGCTTTTTGTTTATTTTGCTTTATTTATTTATTTTAGGATATTGTGCTGTCTTTTTTCTTTTTCTTTTTCTTCTGGTCAGTTGTGGGGCTTGAACTTGGACCTGGGTGCTGTCCTTGAGCTTTTTCACTTAAGGCTAGTGCTCTAACACTTTGAGCCATAGCTCCACTTCTGGATTTCTGGTGGCTAATTGGAGATAAGAGTCTCAAAGACTTTCCTGCCCAGGCTGGCTTTGAACTGGGACCCTCAGATCTCAGCCTCCAGAGTAGCTAGGATTGTAGGCATGAACCCCTAGTGCCCAGCTTTTAACTCATATTATAGAGTGGACGTATGTTTGTTTGGATTTGATATGGCCATTGAATGCATTTGTCTGATGTTGATATTTAGAAGAATACCAAGACCCAGTTGATAATACCAGATCAGTTTCTAAGAATTGAGGATTACTTTTTCTCTCTCTCTCAGGTTTTGTACTAAGTTTTAAAAGATCATTTTATGTCATTTTGGTATTTGTTTTTAAAACAATTTGTTTTATTAATTGACTACTAAGAACATGTATCGTACGTTGCTATAACATGACAAGATACTTGTGAAGAAAAATGAAGCTTCATGGCTTAGGGGCCTTACAGAAGAGGATGGAGAAGCCCCAGTGGTTTGACTTCTAGTGAGGGTCCATGTTGTTATGTCATCCCATGGGAATAGCATGATGAAAACACAGAAGGGAGAGATTGCTATGGCAAGACAGGAAGATAGAAGTGAGAAGAAACTAACCAGTCTTGCTCTTTCATAACCATCTTCTCTCAAGGGAAGTAACGCAGCATTAATCAGTTTCAAGGGTAATTACCTTCCATAGGCTCTACTTCTCTGTTTTTCAGTGCTAGGAAGCAAGCCAGTGACTCACACACCGCTGAGCACGAGCTCTGACCCTGAGGTATATTTTCCAATCTCAAGACACAGTTAGGGATTCCATGTCCTTTCACAGTACCACTATGGCAACCAAGCTTCCACTACATGAATCTTCAGGGAACAAATTACATCCACGCTACACTGGTGAACTCATATCCCTAAATTTTATCACTCAGCACAATGAAAAGACCTATAAACTACTGTGTCATACATCTTTCAGATCCTTTTTGTTTTATCAAAGGAAGCAAAATTCTACCAAATGAAATTCCACTAAAAAATAAATATAAGAACATTGAACATTCTCTGATTCTTTTTCACTTGAAATTGTGGCAGAAATCATTAGTTGCCCTGTAGATTACTTTAGTTCACTTGTTTTCATTTTGATAATACCCAGTTGTCTTAGACATGCCATAATTTACTTATGCACTAAAGTAGATAGATAGTTGTCTTGCTTAAGACTTTAGACCTTATGCATATAGCGTGTACCCCAGGGAACATGGACATGTGTGGTTTTTCTTAATCTTCATGAATAATATCAAACTTGTTTTTAAAAAGCACATATGGAAATTCTCATTGCTTCCAATTATCACCAACATTTTGTATTGTCAAATATATTTTACATTTTCCAATCAGGTGTTGATTATGGTGTTATCATTGTAAAGTGAATAGTTATTTGTTAGGTAAACAATGATGCTGTGGACATATTCATGTGTCAATTGGTCATTTGGGTTTCTTGTTATTATGAAGTGACTGATTTTTATTTTATCTCATTGTTTTTAGTCGTCTGTTTTTTCTTATTGGTTTTGAGTATCCTTACTGAGCTTTGGCATGCACATGTAAAGGAGTATTATTTTTCACTTCAGAGGCTTATTATAAAGATTAACTTAGGTGATTGATTTATAGTTATCACAATATCCAGAATTTAATAATATCTCACAAATATTTGCTATTATAAAATTGGATTGTCTATAAATGTTTTATAATTAAATTTGTATGAAATCTCTTTAAAGCTCAGTTTTTTATTGGTAAAATAAGCTGAACATATCTAGAAAATTTCAGCATTACTGTAATACAGTTGTCAGAAAATAATGACTAATATAATTGTATCATCATTTTAATATAATTTAAGTGCATATTAGATCCCTTCTAGCTCATTCAAAGGATGCTTTGTCTAATCAGAAAAGTTCTTTTTTTTTTTGGTCCGATCGTGGGGCCTGAACTCTGGGCCTGGGTGCTGTCCCTCAGCTCTTCAGCTCAAGGCTAGCGCTCTACCACTTGAGCCACAGCGCCACTTCCGGCTTTTTTCTTTCTGCTTATGTGGTGCTGAGGAATCGAACCCAGGGCCTCGAACATGCAAGGCATGCGCTCTCCCACTGAGCCACCTTCCCAGCCCCAGAAAAGTTCTTTTCTTTCTTTTTTTCTTTTTTTTGTCAGTTGTAGGGCTTGAACTCTGGGCTTGGGTGCTGTCCCTGAGCTCTTTTTGCTCAAAGCTAGGGCTCTTCCACTTTGATCCAATGCTCTACTTCAGTTTTTTGTTTGTTTTGGTGGTTAATTGTAGGTAAGAGTCTCACAGACGTTTATGTCTGGGCTGTCTTTGAACCAGATCCTCAGATTTCAGCCTCCTGAGTAGCTAGGGTTACAGGCACGAACTACCAGCACCTGGCTTAATAGGGAAAGTTAAAAAAAATGTGTTACAATAAAACTTTCATTCTGGAAGCTAATTCTAGCTTCTATATGGATTTGAGGAGTAGATTTGAGCAAAACAGTATCCAGGTAAAGATCCTACTTACAATACTTAGGTTTTACAATCAATGGCAAGGGCATGAACCAAATTACTAGTGGTAGTAGGATGTAAGTAGATAGTGGGTTTTTAAAACTTAGGCAATAATATTACCAGGACGTAATGATTAGGAAGGTATTACATCTAATATTACTCCAGGATCTCTAGTATCAAATGAAGTAGCTTATCATGAGAACATTTAAGATAATGAATATAGATAAAGAAGCCAATATTTTTATAGGAAAGTCCATTTGCTTGTGCATTAAAAGGTGGTTGATGAGGACCTGAATTAAGAAAGCAGCTCCTAGGAATAGGTTAGTGTAACCAGAATCAGTCATATGCAAAACTCCAATTTAGGTGTTCCAACATGTCGAGACTGCCCATCACCCAAGACATCGAATAAAGAGACTAGTGTTGATAAAGACCAGAGAAAGAGATCTATTATCATGCCATTGCACATGCGTGGAGAAAGCGTTTTAGTTCATCTTTCAGTTACAAACAAGAGCTTAAGTTTTAAATAGAAAAAGAACTGGGACATGAGGCTAGATGTATACATGATTAAATATTCCTGGTCAAAGGTATGGTGGCTAGAGGAGTGGTCAGGTTATCATTTCACAAGTAGTCAGATGACACCTTGTCACAAATAAGAAAGCCATTGCTACCTGGTGATAATTTGGACTCCTATCATAAGTTATTTACCCATAAACCTTTTTTTTCTAAAAACCAAAGGATGGTAGCTCAGAGCAGAAGAGATAGATGCAAATGGAAGCAAAGCATTTGCTGCCCCAAGTGAAGAGTTAGTGTTTTTAGGAAAAGCGGTTTCTAAATCGCTCTTACAAATCCCAAATCCCCCATAGAAATGAAAAAGAAAAACAGGATAGCAAATACAAATGAATAGAAGAAGTTTGATGTGATTTCAACATACATCCTCAGGGTAACACGGCAAAGAACAGAAAATCTAATTAAAGGAGAAGAAAGTACTTTAGAAGAAAGTACATGGAATCTGAACATTCCAGGTTCTAGTTTGGAGGATATTAGATTAATGTAGTGTTCTCCTAAGCTTCGCATTCCAGAAAGCTTCTATACTTGGGGAATATAAATACATTTAACAAATGATGGAGTAAGCAATAATTAACATCACAGCTACACATGTCTTTAGATATTAACTTAGTTTCTATTTCCAAGTCTTTATGTCAGTAGGATAATAGCTTTACAATAGGGGCAAAGCCAAAGCTTGAGACCTCTTATAATTTTATAATAGTGCTAATGACCTAAATAGACTTATTCCCTGATGTACACGTACATTTCATATATACAATAACAAAATGCTTGTTTTATCAAGACTAACAGATGTACACTAGGAAATCCCAAAGGTAGTATTTGTAAAATTGAAATGTTACTGACTACAAGTAGCAGAAACATCAACAATTTTATTGTCTATTTTATTTGGAAGGTCAAAATGCAATGTCTATTTAGCAAGAGTGGGGCCAAGGATATGATTATGTTTAACACTGGATCTGTCATATATTTTACCTTTCAGATGATAAGTCATTCTATTACCTTGCCTCTTTTAAAGTCACAAATATCAAGTACAAAGAAACTTATGGAATAAGATCCTCAAGAGATTTTACAGAAAGAAGTCATCAGATTGAGAGAATGGTAAGTCCCACAGAAAATGGGTTATGAGTTTATACTCTTGCCATAATTTGAATGTGGCTGTTATGTGAACTTAGTCTCTCTGTGCCTCAATTTCTTTGACAGTAAAGTAGATAACGTATCTGCACAATACAGTTACAAGTATTGTAAAATATTACAAAATACCTAGGCTAATTTTGTACACCTTTAACATTGTCTGTATGTCCTAGATTGTCAAGATTATGGAGTAAACAACTAATTAGATCCTGAGAAAATTAAAACAAGTTTCCATTCTTCTTTTCTTTTATTGTTTTGGGAAGTACTGAGGTTCAATTCTTCACATCAGGGCCTCCTGCTTACTAGGTACTTACAACTTGAACTGTACTCCCAGCTCTTTTTGCTTTAGTTTTTTTTTTTTTTTTCAGATAGAAACGGGATTATAGATGTAAGCTAGCATGCCCTTTTAGTGTTTGAGCCAAGGTCTAACTACATTTTTGCCTGGACTGGTTTTGAATTGTGATCTTTGCCTATCTTAATCTTCCAAGAAGTTGGTATTACAGATTTGAGCCACAGAATTGTGGCCTCATTTTTTAAATAAGTTTTTATTGTAAAAATACTGTACAGAGGGGTTACGATCACATGAGCAAGGTAATGAGTACATTTCTTATCAAGCGCTGTTGCCTCCTCCTTTGTTTTTCCCCTACCATCCCTTCCTTCCCAACTCCACAACTATATCCCCACCCTCCTGCCTAAACTGTAAAGTTCATTTTTTCACACAGCGTCTTGTACATTTTATTGTTACAATGGGTCAACCTGTATCCCTATTTAAACAATTTGTTTTTTCCCTTCCGCTCTCCAAATTATACCAACATCAAATATAAAAAATTATGTGGTACCTTATAAATATGTTAGAAACAATAGCAAGAAAGAAAAAAGAAACCACTTGTGTCCTTATCTTGGGGTTCATTTCACTTAACATCATCTTACCTGACCTTTTCTGGTTGTCTCAGATATATGCTAGTTATTGCAAATAAGGGAAACCATGGGGCCTATGTTTCTTTGGGCCTGGCTTTCTTCACTTAATATAATTTTTTCCAAGTCTTTCCATTTCCTAACAAATGGGAAAATGTCATTCTTTCTGATGGAGGCATAGAATTCCATTGTATACATATATATACCATGTTCTCTTGATCCATTTATCTACTGAGGGGCATCTGAGTTGGTTCCATATCGTAGCTATGGTAAATAATGCTGCAATAAACATAGTTGTACTGGTAGCTTTAGTATGGGCTTGGTTGTGATCATTTGGGTAAATGCCCAAAAGTGGGATTGCTGGGTCATAGGGGAGCTCTATGTGGAGTCTTTTGAGGAACCTCCATACTACTTTCAAAGGTGGTTGAACAAATTTACACTCCCACCAGCAATGCAGTAGTGTTCCTTTCTGTCCACATCCCCTCCAGCATCTGTTATTATTAGAGTTCTTGATTATAGCCATTCTAACTGGAGTGAGGTGGTATCTCAATGTTGTCTTGATTTGCATTTCTTTTATGGTTAGAGAGGTTGAGCATTTCTTCATATGTCTATTGGCCATTCTTATTTCCTCTTCAGAAAAGTTTCTCTGTAAATCTTTAGCCCACTTGTTTATTGGGCTGTTGTTTCTTTGAGGATTTGTTGTTGGGGGATTTAATTTTTTGAGTTGCAGGTATATTTTAGATATGAGACCCTTGTCCGTTGTATGGCTAGTGAAGATCTTCTCCCAGTTTGTGGGCTTTCTATTGATCTTGCTAGCTATGTCATTTGCCCTGCAGAAGCTCTGCAACTTTATGCAATCCCATTTATACAACCTTTCTTTGATTTGTTGTGTTTCTGGGTCTCTATTTAGAAAATTTTGGCCTGTGCCAAGGAGACCTAGGGATTCTCCTATTCCATCTTGTAATGTTTTCACGGTGCCTGCTTTGACTCTGAAGTCTTTGATACATTTGGAGTTGATTCTGGTGCAGGGTGATATAGAAGGATCTAGCTTTAGTTTTCTACAAGTGATTAACCAATTTTGCCAGCACCATTTACTGAAGAGGATGTCTTTCTTCCATTCTATTTTTTTTTTTTTAGCTGAATGTCTGTGGGTTCATTTCTGGGTTTTCAATTCTATTCCATTGGTCCTGAGGTCTGTTCCTGTGCCAGTACCAAGCTGTTTTGATTACTATGGTTTTGGAGTAGAGTTTGAAATTTGGTATTGATATTCCTCCAGCACTGTTCTTTCTGTTAAGGATCGTTTTTGCTATTCGGGGTCTTTTATTATTCCATATGAATTTTTGGATTGCCTCTTCTATTTCCTTGAAGAATGAGGTTGGAATATTGATAGGTATCACACTGAATTTGTAGATAGTCATGGCCTCATTTTTAACTATGGATTTGATCTTCTTTCCTTCCTTCCTTAAAAAAATTAGCATTTACTAGTTGTACATTGTGACTTCCACATGTGGCATATAATATATCCTGATTAAGGTTATCACTTCCATCAACCTTCCTCATCCCCCTCAAATCATTTCTTGAAACAATTTCAGTGGGTTTCATTGTTCTATTTTCAATCATGTATATCTAATATTTCACTCGTTCACCCTCATTCATTCTGCTAGTCTTCCCCACCCCCACTGATGCCTCATTAATAGAGCTGTTTTACTTTCCTTCAATATACTTTACAAGTTTTAATTTATATTAATTATTATGTGTGTTTCATCACAATAGTTCACATATGTGAAAGTATAAATTAATTTTCTCTTACTTTCTCTTTCCCATATTCCCCACTTGCCAATTAGTGAGTTTATGCTGTTTTCATACACAATATACAAACATCTTTTGATATTATGCTTTCTCCATGATTTGTAATCATCATTCATTATGCAGATAAAGTCTACTTACAATTGAAGAAATGTACAGATTTCACCTTTTTTTTTTTTTTTGGTGGTCATGGGGCTTGAACTCTGGGCCTGGGTGCCGTCCCTGAGCTCTTCAGCTCAAGGCAAGCACTCTATTATTTGAGCCACAGAGCTACTTCTGGTTTTCTGGTGGTCAATTAGAGATAAGAGTCTCACGAACTTTCCTGTCCGGACTGCCTTTGAACCATGATCCTCAGATCTCAACCTCCTGAGTAGCTAGAATTATAGGAGTGAGCCTTTGGCATCCGGCCGTCAATTCTGAATTTTAGCTATTGAGAATAGAGCTCAAATAAACATGGATATGTAAGTATCTTCCTTGTATGTTGGTTTCCACAGTTTTGGATAGATGCCAAAGGGTGATATCACAGGGTCACAATGTTCATTCATCTTAAGTTTTTTGAGGAGGCTCCATACTGAGTTGCATACTTGTTGCACAAGTTTACATTCTTACCCGCAGTGTATCAAGGTTCCTTTTCCCCTACATCCTTACATCTGTTATTATTTGATGATTGCGAATCTGGGTGAGGTGGAATCTTGGTGAGTGTAGTTTTGATGTGCATTTCCTTTATAACTGAGGACCTTGAATATTTACTCATGTATCTGATGGCCATTTGGATTATTCTTCCTAGAATTATCTATTCAATTCATTTGTCTATTTACTAGATGGGTTATTTCTACTTTTACTGTTTACTGTTTAGCTCTTTGTATATTCTGGATATTAATCTTTCAGCCAGTGAATATCTAGTGAAGATATTCTCCCATTCTGTAGGTTGTTTCTTGATTACTATAATTGTTTCTTTTGCTGTACAGAAGCTTTTTAATTTCGTGTGCTCCCATTTGTCAACTCTTACTGATATTTTTCTGGCAACCAGGGTCTTTTTCAGAAAAATAATTACCCATGTGTCAATTTTCCAGAGTTTTCCCTATATTTTTCTGCAGTACTTACAAATTTTTAGATGCTATATTAGGATATTTGCTCCATTTGAAGTTGGGTTTTATACTAGGCAGGGGATTTAGTTTCAGTCTCCTGCATATTGGTAATCAGTTTTCCCAGTACTGTTTATTGAAGAGGCTATCTTTTTTCCAGTGTATGCTTTGGTTCCTTTGTCAAAAATTACTGGAGCTGTGTGATTTTATTTCTGTATCATCTGTTCAATTTGGTTGTTGTTTCTGTTTTGTGTCAGTATCATGCTATTTAGTTACAGAAGTCTGGTATTGTGATACCTACAGCATTGCTCCTTTTGCTATTTGGACTCATATGCTTCCAAGTGTACTTTAAGATTAATATTTAAATTTTTACAAAAAATATTTTTTGGATTTTGCTAGGCATTGAATTACATTTGTGATTTACTTTCAGCAATATGTCCATTTTCATGTTATTAATTCTACCAATCCATAAACATAGGAGATATTTCTGTCTTCTGATGTCTTCTTCAATATCTTTCATCAAGAAACTTTTCTTCAAGTTTTCATTGTAAAAGTCTTTTACTTCATTGGTGAATTTATACCTAGTTTTGTTTTTTTGTGGCTAATGTGAATGGAATTGTTTTCCTAGTTTCTTTCTAAACTTGCTTTTTGCTGGGATTATTTGGAATTCTCCTTTTATTTGGATCCTTTCTATTTATTTCTCTTGTTTTATTGCTCTAGCTAAGAATTCCAGTACTCTGAAGTAAGAATGACAAGAGTAGATATTTGATTTGATTTTAGTTTGTTTCCTTCGGTCTTCTTTAACAAAATAATTTCCATACTCATTTCAGCATTTTCTCTATTTTGTTTTTGAAATCGCTTAATATATCTCCTCAATGGATAATTCCAGGTTATCAATCTCAAATTTTGTTTTTGAAATCGCTTAATATATCTCCTCAATGGATAATTCCTGGTATCAATCTCAAATTTAGTTACGTCTTTGAACATTTTGGTTTTCTTTTATGGTGTGTATATTTACCAAGGAATTTATTATTTAAAAGTATATTTGATACACTAGTACTACCCAATATAGCAAAAACATCAACTAGAATAGCCCTCACTTTTGTCCCATCAGGACTACAGACAGAGTCAGTTATCAAAACTTAGTATACTAGCTAAGAA